AATGGCTTTTTTCTTGCACCTTCCAACCCTTTTATCAATTTCTCCCTTAGTAGCACCTGTCTCCTACTGTTCTCCCTCAGGTTCCTTCTTTCCATTTGCCTTCCTGGGTCCTTTCCATTTTCCTGGTTCCTGCAGATCTACATATGTGGGAGAACATACAAAATATTGTAGGTTGGTGATTAATGTGATAGAAATGCATTGTGTCTCAGTTCTGGAGACTGGATGTCCAAGGTCAATGCCTTAGCAGACTGATTTCTCTGGGTGCTTCTCCATCTGCTTTGCAAATGGTTTTCTTATTTTATTGGATTGCATCCCTAGTCTTATGATCTCATTCAACCTTAATTGCTTCCTCAGCGATATTATCATCAAATACAGTCATATTGTGGAGTGGGACCTTAACTTACAAGTTTTCAGAGATGCCATTTAGGCCGTGATGCTTACTCTTAGACATAATGCATGATCATAAAACATTCTGAAAATCCTAGTTTCTTTAAGAATGATCCTAAACTTACTCTCTGTGATCTATAAATGGAATAACAAATACTTGATTTATTTGTATGTCTGTTTATAACATGGGTTACTTAGTATCCCAAACCTGTTGATACCTCAGAAGAAAAGCTAAAGACTCCTTTCAGAAATCACTGCTCATTGACATTGTAACTGGTCACCCAAGAGTTGTACACCCAAGAACTCACAACAAGAGTTCTGTTGGAGATGCACAATGGGTCTAAGGCTTTCATGTCTGCCAACACAACACCCATTCTTCCACATGTGGATCAAGTAATCATTTTTGTTATGCTAAGGGAAGTAACACAGACTCAGAAAAAAAGTCGACATATGTTCTCCCTCACATGTTGATCCTAGAACCAAACCCTGATGAGTGAGTATGTATCCAGACATAACTACAGGAACCAGGACAATGGAAAGGAAAGAGGGAGGTAAAGGAAAAAAAAAAATAACCTGAAAGAGAACAGTAGGAAACAGGCCTTAACAAAGGAGATATGGATAAAAATTGGGTTAGTTTAAGGGAGGGGGGAGGGAAGGATATACAAGGAACCTAGGGGATAAAGGGAAAGAAGGAGCTCAAGAGAGGTTGGACCATAGGAGAAGGGCATTAGAAAGGGAGAAAGGGGGGAAGTGGGGGCACCTTAAGCGGGAAAACCATGATGGAGGGGTGAGACAATGTGAGAGATAAACAATGCCTAGCTAGTTTTGAAAAACAGAGAGAACCATATTACCACTACAACCTACTGACAAATTATACATAGCAGATCAAGAAATATGTCTAGGTAAGGTTTATCTGAGAACAACTGATCTTTGCCCAAGATTTATCTACATGACACACAGTAATTAAAAATACCAGATTGG